AGGTGTTGAGATACAGGTTTATCAATTTTCAATTGCACTCTTATCTCCTCTGCCTCTAGAGAAACCAATGGAAACAATAGCTATGCAATAATGGTAGTTTATGAACCGTACGCCCCTCCTCAGGTGCATGCCTTATACTGACTGAAAAGTTGGCACATAAAAAGGCTGCTGGAAAAGAGCATCCTCTGAAAAGCTGTTTCCCTGTCCCCACGGAGTTGTTACTGCTGTAGCACCTTCCAATGTCCCTACACCATAGGATCTTCCAGCTTTTTTACTACAATTCCCCATTTATAGGGCTGTGAGTGTTGCACAGAGAGCTAGGATCATCAGAGATGCTGCTGAGAGTCTATTTTTAGAGTGAGTCATTTGATGAGCTGTTCAGCACCTTATTTATTGCTGTCTCCAGCTGAAGGAGCTAAGCACTGTCCAGACACCTCTACTGCTAAAACCAGAACTCGGAAGCAGTGACCTCTATTTGACAGCATTTTCTGTACTGACAGAGAGAAAAACAACAGCACGTTATGCTGTCAAGGCTAATAGCTGCTAATTAGGGTGAGTGATATATGACCCCTTTTATATCCAAAGAACACAGAAGTCACAGTACAAATAAAAATAGATGTTGAAATTCTGCATTTACAGTCTTTTCCAGTCTAAAGAGTGACCACTTAAAAGTAACATCCTATTTTGTTTTTTTCCTGGTTTGTCTGTTTAAGGCTTTACTTGAACCTTACATTATTTGTCCAGTGGGTAGAAGTCTCAGCGTTCACAGTGTTTCCTTGGTAGGAAATGGGGCTTTGAAGGGACAGCAGGAGAAGAAAAGGGGACAAACCGAAGCTATGTCGCTGGAAACACGGGACACATGCGTAGAGGCTCCAGAATCACCATCGGTGTGCAGAGCACTGAAGGGACTGCAGCAGCAAGGGCAGCTCCTCCCAAAGGTTGCACGCCTTCGCACGCCCCAGTGCTCGTCTGGCAGCAGGGGCATCTCACCGAGCACAGCCAGTAAGCAGAGCAATGAATTCAGCAACTGAAAACTGGCTGAATCTGTTGCCATCTAACCGGATTCCTGGCAAAATAAATAGAAAAGATGTTTCTCTCTAGGCATGTTCCACATCTAACCTAGCCGATGCTCAGCATTTATCCCTGGACAAGCCTGGAGCCACGTACAGGCTGTGTTTACTCCAGACTTCTGTACAACTGCTTTGCATTATTAATATTTGTAACGCAGTAGCACTTAGGGGTCACTGCTGGGTGTTGGGTATATTCAGAACATGGGGCAGCTCCTGCTCTGAAGAACCTAGCACCTACCTAACCAAGCAGGCAAAGAATCAGTAACCAATTGCCATTTCATAAATGGGGAACTGAGGTACAGAAAGCTGAAATGATTTACTAGAGGTCACATTAAAAGTCTACTGAATTTGCAGCCTCCCGTTTTTTTATTACAGGCTCAAACATTCTGTTAGACCCTCTGAATGTTAATCATTACCTAACTCTTCTATCTTCTTGCTGCTCTAATGAGATTATTGATGAATTACTTAAAATGCACTTTCTGTAGAAGAAATTTTTTAGGTGACAAGTTGCCTTTTACTAAACAAATTAATGGGAAAGTTGAGTTCTCTCATTCCAGTCTGGAGAAAAGAAGTTTGGGGTTTAAAATGCCCAATTAGTACTAACTGAAATCCGATATCTGAGATTATTTGGCACTGTGTCTGTTATAAATATGCCACGCGGCCATTAGTACCTTGTGGTACCATCAGGACAAAAACAGTCACTCCAGCGATTAATATTGCAGTAGCTGCATATGTCAATATAGGAGTAGAACAATTGCAACTTTATAGGTTCATTCCAAACCCCATCAAACTCAAAGGGAGGCCTCTCATTAAGTGCAAGGGGATCTAGATCAAGCTCTCCTGAGGCATAGCTGGGTTTTGCTCTGATCAAAAAGCTATGACATTTCCAAACATCAGTATCGCCCACATTGCAGGTCAGCCCAGTAAAGCCAGAAAACATGGCTGGAAGTACGCGACATGCCATGCAAACCCGGAGGGACAAATCTAACAGCGTTCTCTCCGCAGATAACTCTGCGGTAGATCCAGAAGTCAGTGTTACAGGTTTTAGGTCTTGTTCCTGTGCAGCCTGCTCCAGCTAGTGCAAAATTTCTCATTGCAGTATCTCTCACAATAGTTTTGCAAATGAAGTTCTACATCTCCCCAGCAAAATCCTCTGCGTTCCAAGACATCTTTCCTGATGGTGTTTTAAAGCACCTTCTCTGAAGTCCCAAGTAATGAGGTAACTCTCAGTCTGCGTGTAAGAACAAAACTCTACAAGACAGACTGTGAGCCAGACACTTATTATTACACTTTCTACAAATGCACAGAAGGGCTTTCTCTCAGTGCTCCAGGTCACCAAGATCATGTTTGAGGCATATGATTAATTTTCAGCCTTATTGTGTTAAGGGGTGGCAGGAGAAAAGTAAGAAAGATTTTTTTTTAGAACAGTGTTAAATGAGGCAAAGACCTTGTCACTTAGCAAGAGCTTTTAAACTATCCTTGCATAAAGCAGCACCTAAAAAGTTAATAGACATAAATAGCATTTTATTGATTTGAGGTATTCTGAGGAGTTTTAATGCAGGTGAAGGCAGGAAAAGGATTCTGCTTGGGATAATTAAGCCTTAGCTAGTGAAGCCTGGAGCATTTACACCAAAAAAAAAAAAACCCAAAAAACCACCAAACCCCCCCCCCCAAAAAACACCAAAAACCGAAAATGCCAAAGAAAAGCTGTCACTTAGCCTGAAACTAAGCCTTTCCTGGGACACAAGTGAGTGTGACAGCCCAGCAGTGATAATCTTTACCCAGCTGCTTGGCCACACTCTCTAGCCACTGAGCCTAGAAAGAGAGCCCATGAGCGACTCCCAGGAGCAAGCAGTTAATGTGTAATGAGTTCTGCTTTTATTCAGAGACACTCATACCAACGAGTTCTTGGATGGGGGAAAGAAGTTCAGCTGATAAAAAAGGTGTTTTGAAATATTTGGTTTTCCCCTTGGACGTAAATTATTCTTAGCACAACTCAATTCCCATAAAAGCTCTTTGTTGGTCATATGCAGACATCAAAGGTAAAAATAAAGCCTCAACTGTAAATCATTTTGCTTTTCAATATTTGCTGCCTCAAACACCAGAACATCCCAAAGAAGAGCACGGAAATCCCAAACACCATCTGATAGCAACTAGGGGCCTCTCCAGATTTCAAGCACCCTGAAACAAGGGATGTCTTCCTTAGGCCTGGATTTTAATTTTAGCATCTTTTCCCTGTCTACTGCGAAACTGCAGCAGGTTGCAGTGCCCATGACCTCTCTTCCACTCCAGGTCACATAAACCTGCTTGTAGTGGGATTTCACAGCGTACAATGTGTCCTCCTGAGTCACAGAGGTACTTTGGGAATTCCTGTACCCCGGTGGTTTGTACGTGGTCATTCCAGTATCAGAGATTTTTTTTAAAAAAATCTGTTGTTATTTGGCTGCTTGCTTTTCCCTTTCCTCCAGATGAAAATTAGTTCAATGAATATTGATATTAATATACATTTGCATGCAAGCATGTGATAAATGGCTCACTGAAACAAGGCCTGTAAATCCAGTCAGTGGCTGTGCTAATCGTGTTCCTATCATACTCTAGGGGCATTAGCTACAAACGAGCTTTTTGTTACATGATCAGAACACACTGCAATCCACATCCAGCTTTCTGGATGGGTTTTTATTTGCCTATCAACCATTTGCAGAAGAAAGCATTGTTGAAGTCACTTCTGGAGGGCAAACTGCAGGGGAGGAAGAGCCTCCCATGGAGTTTACCACCGCATCTGCTGAGCGCAGGGCACAACATTTGCATTGCCAACATCTGGTGCTTGCTGGATATCAGAAGTTGTGCTGCAAGACGGGGGAATCGTCAGCGATGGCGCAGTCGGTTAGAATTAAGAGGTCCAATCACCTGGGATGCAACATGGGGGTTGTGTTGGGCCAAACTGTAAATCAGAATTCAAAATTCCCCATTACCTTCACTACAACGCAGCATTCAGTGAGCCAGCGCAGTCAATCATGTGCCCGAGCCCCAGGGCAGTTTCAGTACCGTATGTTCCATGGGGGAATAACAGCCACGCTCCTTCTTAGGGCACTGGTGAGTAGCCACAAGGCAACCGCACGTTGGTTTTCTTTACAGAAGGACAGTATTAAAGCTTAAGCTTAAGTATAAAACTGCTGCAGAAAGCTTTTGCAATATGCGAAGTAAAAACACAAACAGCAAATAAGCACTCAACAGAGTGGTGATTTCTGTCGTGTGGAATCCACAGAACCTAAACCAGCATCATCTTCCATCTGCATAAAATGGATTATTCCATCTCAGTTCTGCTGGTGTTATTTAACATACAAATTACAATTGTTAATGAAGATTGCTGGGTCAAATCCAGTGCAGAGGTTTGTCTGAATAATTTTTCAGCTGGTTTCATATTCCTGACAATTCACCCTTTACTGAATCCAGACTTTGAATGAACCCCAAATTCCTGACTGTACAGATGGCAAGGAAATGCTGGGTTTTGAAACAGAAGTGTAAATCAGTCCTTCTTTCCACCTGGATACAAGGGAATGAAAATATATGAACCTGCTCACAAGCAGACGTACAGTTTTAAGTTTGTTAGAGCTCATCTGCGTGGAGAGGTAGGTACTAAATGAGCGAGGGCGTGAATTTAACGTGCTCAGCAGCTGCCTGAACTGGCACATCTATTCTGCAACAAGAGTGCCTTTCTTTGGCTTAGCTTAATCCATTGCCAAAGCGCGGTGTAATTGCTATCTCTAGGATGACAGCACCACATGAATTGTTGCTTGCACGGTGGATTTCTAAGCTTTAGTGTCCAATCTGGACACTCACGTTGCTGTGCGCTCAGGGAACCTGAGAAGGCTTTTGGTGCACTTGTCTGAAGGAGGGGCTTCCCTTCTTTTTTTTTTTGTCCCCCTCTAGTTATGGTGACATGGTGCCCAAGACCATTGCTGGGAAGATATTTGGCTCCATTTGCTCCCTGAGCGGGGTGCTGGTCATTGCTCTGCCCGTTCCAGTCATTGTTTCCAACTTCAGCCGAATTTACCACCAGAACCAGAGAGCCGACAAGCGGAGAGCACAGAAGGTAAGCCATCCCGCGCGGCTGCCTCCTCCGAAAGCTCAGCAGCTGCCGGCAAATCTCAGCCCCTGCTTGTCACCACGGGGCTTGTGAGACACCAGTGACAATTCTGAGCATTGCAGAGGGCAGCCTGCATGCGCCTATCCATCTACCTACACGTGTAGGCTTACCTTCACACGCAGTTATAACTACCTGTACCCATACAGACACAAGCTAGTTCATTGCACACACTGTGCACTGGCGTATTTTAAACATCAGAAGCAATAGGGCTTTTATTGCTCACCTTTGCTACATGCTAGTCTGAAATAAATATATACATATACACATAAACCCTTAAATCATTAACAGGGGCTGTTTATCCTTCTGGCTGCTTGGTTCCTGTCCTCTCTCTGCCCTGGAGTTTTGAAAACACCCATCCAGAAACATATACTTATCAGCACACATACCCCCTCAAAGCTGCAGACTGTAACATAAACAGAACACTGGGAATACACAAAAAGCCCCTGGAAACTTCAGGGGATTACCGAATATTCCAAAATCTGAACGGTTTTTACCAGCATAATCTTAATGATTCACTGAGAGAGTATAACAGATTTATTATATCTCTCTTTCAGTCTGCTGAATTACACCAAAACCAGTGTCAGGTTTTTACAACAACTGCAAGCTAAAGGTCTGGGGTTTTTTTCTCCCTATGGAATGCTGTTTGCCAGAAATTCAAGGCTCAGGGGACCTGATGGAGAATAGTAGTAGAAAGATGTGCTATTTCTGCTTCAGGCAAGCATCTGGGCTGTGCCTACTTCTTGCATCTCAGGGAGCTGACAGCAGAGAGCTGAGATACAAGACCTACAAAACCACAAAATTTGGCAGTCAAAACACATAAGGAGAGTAGCAGAGAGACAGAATCATGCAGGAATGAGTTGCAGTCTCCATAAGTCATTGCTGGGTTTTACACATACCTGCATTAGGTTTGGCATTGTACACGTGAAACATCAAACTGCAATAATTTCGGGATGTGTTTTTGGGGGAGAGTTGTTTATCTGATTAGTCATACAACATAATATAGATTAAAAAAATCCCTAAAAAGATATCATAATGGAAGTCCACTCAGTACCACACACTGTTCAGTCAGCAGCCGGACAGTGGGAAACCAGTATGGATCATTGCATTCATTTAATGAATTTAAATGATTTGCAGAGTGGGTTGCCTAATGTGAGGCTGCACCCAGGCATAAGGTATCTGGGTTTAACTTGCAACAGGAACATTCTAGGTGTCAGTGCAGGGGAAGGACTGGAGTACCCACGCAGAGGTTTGTTAAGGGGACAGTGTGCAATAGCCCATTTAAATAATTGAAGACTTTGAGAGAAAGTACTTGTTCTACTGAAGTGGCACATAAACACAGTGAGAGACAGAACCTGCGTTACAGTATTGCCTAAGCAGCAGATAAATAGGCAAGACAAATAAACAAACAAGATTTGTGCATAACCATGGATCACGATACAAAGAAGCCCCAGAACCGACTCCAGGTCCGTGCTTTTGGATGAGGCTGTCCTTCTCTCCAGGCAGCATACCCAAGTTTCTTCTTCCGATTCGCCTTTTCCTTTATTTGTTGGACTGCGATCCACTTGGTGACAAGGAAATGTACCGCCACCTTGGATGCTGATATGATTGATTGCAGCTTTTATAAGGTTTGCTGTATTGACACACAGAGTGTATAATTTCCCCCCATTTGAATTTCTAATTCCCTTGATATTGGATGAATTTCTGGGCTAAGAAAGTTTTCTCAAGTCAGAAGTGTGAGTAATTTTCACATGATCATCACTGCATGAATACTAAAGAGAACGAAAGAGACAGAAGCACATTAATGACAGTCTCTCTGGAGATGGTCAGGACATACACAGGGACGTTAAGAATCTGCTTTGATAGCATACTTGTTCCAGCATCATCCTCCAGTGAATTGAATCCCTTCTTCAGAAACAGGGAAGTTTTCGTAATAGTTAAAACTCTGTCCCCATCTAATTAAAGATACAAAGACATTTGCATGGCTTTTTCAAGAAGGTTGGAAAAAGCTCTTTGCACTCTCTCAGTCCTTGAACATGAAGAGCCCACCCGTAGAAGCTCCTTATAAGCAGAGTTTAGAAGACTCAGCTTTGAAGAAAAAACACAGATGTCTTTCCTAAGTTTCTAGTGTGCTAAATAATTTATTTTTCTCTTTTAATGGAAGAGTAAATAATTTGTAGGGTATGTATTAGTATAAATGCTTTAGAAGAAGTTCTGTTTAGTTCAAGAATCACAATTTTTATACTGTACAATTATAAATCACGATTAGGCTATAGACCTTTTTTTTTCTTTTTTTTTTTTATGAACTCAGAATAAAGTTTTCCAATGAGAAATAACAAAGGCAAAAGTACTGTACGAGTGTCAAATTGGCTGGATGTGACATTCAGGGATTTGAAGGTCGGGGTGGGAGTAAACCTGGGCTCTCCAGCACAGCGGGGCTTTCTGAGGGGCTGCACTCCAGAAAAGAGGAAAGCGCAGCACAGCCCCAATGTCCCTCTGGGTTATGATGTGCTCAGTCTTAACTTTGTCTCTTAACTGCTGAGGAGGCATTGGTCTAGCAGGAAGATGTATTTAAAGAGCATGAATAAAATACCGGGAGGTGGCTGTTACTCATCAGCATCTATTCTTCAACTAACTGAGGAGAAATGTTCCTTAAAAAGGAAAAAAAAACCAACCCAAACCAAAACCAAACTACCAGTAATTTAATCACCTTGAAGATAAATTATTCTTTGCCAAAACTGCACTGCAAGAGAATTAATTACAAGGAGATCTGGCAATCTTAATTTATTGTGCTGTGTCATCAAATTCTGTCCTCTGGCATGCTGCGAGGACCAGGTCAATCCGAATGGAAGATGAATTGATCATTTCTGACAAGGTTCATTTTGGTAAAATTGTTTTTTTTTCCCCCCCAAAGACTTTTTTTTTTTTCCTTTTTGACTGATGTGCTAAGAATAGACCTTCCTGACTTTGAAACGATGCTGTTCTTTACTGAATGTCACAGCCTTTGGTTTTAAAAGAGAATTTGACACTTAAAAAGGCTTGACAATAGAATGACTTTGTAATTCAGATCATGCTGGAGTCTCTCTCTTGCTGTGTTCAGTTTGCAGCATAGACGCAATGTGAAGAAGGACACAAGTATCTGGTGCTGGTTTGAGGACTACGCCTCCCACTTTTCAACCCTAGAAAGAGAAAGCAGAGGCAGCTACTAACAGCTACTGAAATGCTGCTCTTTTAGCAACAGTAGAAAAAGTTTAACAGTTCATTGTTTAGAAGTTAGAGATTGAGTGAATACAGCCCCAAGCCACAGCGTTATTCCCGCCAGAGCAGGGCAGTAGAGAAATGCACTGCTGAGAGACTGCCAGGTAATACAGTAGTGAAAAGAACAGATGTGGCCTTTAGGCTTAGTGCAGCAAAGATCCCCGAAGTGCAGATTGCTCTCCCAAGGTTTACAGGAATGCTGTAGACCTCTGGACTCGGAGACTGGTCAAAAATCCTGCAAGAATGATCTTTCTTGAGGAAATTCTAGCTGCTGACAGGCGAATTTATTCCCATGTCTTTAAGCAGAGAACCAATACTAAAATCAAAGGCCCTGACTTTGCACAAACATTTACAACAAAAAAGGAAGAATGAAGGAGAAGAAAACACTAGATCTCTTAGTGAAAATACTTTTAGAAAGGTGTTTTTCAAAGTGTTATGGGAGCCTTTGTTGGTCCTTAATATCCCAGGTCCAATGTCTTGTCTTTGTCTGCTTTAAAATAACCAACTCGGGTCCCTCAGCTGGATAGATTGTGCTAAGTGCAGCAAAGTTAGTTTGTTCTGTTGGTTTTTTTGTTCCTGGAATGATGCTTCAGAAAAGACAACTAGAGATCCCTTTGATATCTCCCCAAACTGCTCCAATACAGTCCAACTAATTACAGCAGTATGACCCCATCGGCTCCAATGTCCCATTCCCCGGGGAAACAGGAGCTGGCCATAAACTGCACAGGAGCTCTCAGAAACTGAGTTTGCTTAGGTGGGCAAATGACTGACAAATAGCAACATGCACTAGCAGCTTTTTGGTAAGAAAAAAATGGTAAGATAGAAAAAAATACTGTGCCAAGGGCGATACTGCATTACAGGTTAAGCCTATGTGGTTGTTAGCCCCAACTCCCTGAACACATAAATGTACATGCAGATGAAGACGATAAGTCTTCAAAGGTGTATTTAAAGCAGTTTTGAACAGCCTCAGAAGGCACATGGAAGTAGAGTGGCAGCTGAAATGTTTGGAAATAGCAACAACAGCATAAAGCAAACTGGTCTCTAGACCAGCCCCCTTAGGGCTAAAATTTAGCCAACTGAGTTGTTCTAGATCTTCTCAGTTTGGGGGAAAACAAATGTTCCGAAAGGGGCCTCTTACACAATGAAGTATGCCGCCTCACATTTGCACAACAGAGGAGGGAGAAATGTAAATGCTCAGATGCTGTGAAAAAAACCCTGTTTAAAGTGCATTTATCATTTAATGGTTAGATTTGCTAAATGAGCCAAGATACTGAAATGGCTGATAATCTCAGAGGGGTTAGCATGGGTTTAGTGGTGCATTTCACAGGGGCTAAACCGAAACTGTTGTCTATGAATATAAAACTTGAGCAATCACTCACAATGCTTAGTTTCAGGTCTGAAGTAAACATGCTTTTGAGGACTGTCTTCCAAGAAGCTGTCTTCTTGGCCTGTTCAATTCATTTCATTTATTATCTGGTGGCCTTTGACTCTATGACAACAAGCAATGTACTGCAAAAGCCTTGAAAAAGACTTCTCATTTCATCCTCTAGGCTATAAGTTTCCAGGAAAGAACCAAACACCCAGATTTAGGCAACGAAAGGACTACCCAGGACAAAATCATTTTGCAGAGCCGCTCTCACATAAAACTATAATATAGAACTGAAAACTGTAACGCAGGCTATCAAAGAGTA